GAAATTACCTAACAGGAAACGAGCAGTAAGACAAAGGTGTAAGAAACATTTTTTAATCTGTTTGAAATTTTACCATAAAAAAAATAAAAGATATTTTTAAATAGTCTGTTTTTTGAAGAGCCTTGAAGTTAAAGTTCTCCCCGTGGAGGTATTACCTCAACCTCATCATTAGAAAGGTTTTAATCCCAAACTGAATCACCTTGACTGCTTTCTTAATAATAGATCAATCAGCTACTTTAAAGGATTTGAAGATTTTTTTCTTTTTTTTCCAGGCCATTTGACCTTTGACAGATTTTTTTGAAGCCTTTGACCACATTAATTAGTTCATAAGGGTGGTCAATACAGCAACTTTAAAAAGTCTTGTTAAGGTATTGCATACTTTGCAAAAAACAAGGAAGTTAATTATACAAGAATTTTGATCGTTTATTTTAACATTTTGTGTGTAAGATCCATAGTTGCCCTTTTCAGAAAAGTCTTCAAGGTGGGATTAAAGTGCCTCTTTGTCCTCTCTGATTTGTGAAAGAACCGATGCAGGGAGGAGGGTTGAAGTCTGCCCATCTCTAACTCACCAAGGGAGGCTTTCACAGCTCACAGCGGCTGACTTTTATAGGAACAAGCTGGCCTTGCAGGTCGAGGGTTTGTGCATCCTCTAGCCAGAGGATTTAAAACCGTGAACAGGATTCAAAAAATAAAAACGACATAAACAGCAATTCAATTTGAGGTTTTTATTTGACCAAGACAGCAACGGTACGGATCTTTTCCAATGTTATGGCTTTAATAATAATTGAACAGATTTTATGGTTGGTGTCTACGTCAATGCTGCAGCACACTTCATGTCATCCCATCCTCATCTACACTCCAGATTTATTTATTTATGTAAAATCAATCCTTAAATGTTGAACACTCTCCCTCACTAAAACCCACCTGGAGGTTTGTTAGAAAAGGAAAAAGTAAAACTGCTCGGCTGGGGATGTTTTATAGAAGTTACAGTGAAATCTTAAGCCACAGAAAACTATTTTTCCTGTCATGGTTGCAAAATAAAGTCTGTTCTTCAGTGCGTACTACTGATCTTTATACACAGGGTTGATTCCAGTGTTTAATATGTAGCGTCAAAGTACATCGACTCTTTTAGACACTAATATATCAGTAATTTAGCACTAATTCAGAGTGAGACCAAATGCACTTGGATTGGTGTTTAATCTAACTATTAAAATGTTACTTTAACTTTGCAAAATTTAATGTTTATGTTGAGCTGTATAATGATAGTAGATGTGTAAATCCCTTTATTGTTCCACAATGGGGAAATTCGTTCTCTGCATTTGACCCATCCCCTTGGGGAGCAGTGGGCTGCCATTATGTGGCGCACGGGGAGCAATCAGGGGTTAAAGGTCTTGCTCAGGAACCCAGAGTACAGGCTGTGGGGATCAAACGATGTGCTTTCAACCTTCTCAGAGCACAAGTGCACTGCTCTAACCACTAGTCCAACAATCCCCCTACCATTCTACCATGCATACCCTAAATCTTCCAGGTTTGCTTTGAGCGTAAAAAGGCACAATCATGGCCTGACTACTGAAGAGTCTTTATAATCCAGGGAGGGGCTTTCAGGAGCCATCCCTTGGTAATTACTGGTTTAAAAAAATGGGATGGTAAAGGGAAAGCTAAGGATATTTCACAGAAAGTGAAGAAGTGGTGGAGAAAAAATTGTGTTGCACAGTATTGCTGTAAAAAAAAAAAAAAAAAAAAAAAGCCAAAGAAGCGAATAGTGTTTTTCAGTCCTAATTGGGCCTGTGGGACATGCTGGGGGAACGCACAGGGAAAGATCCCATCTTGCCCCTTGGTGCTGCAATGATTAGATCAGCAGAGGCTGACATAGGCAGAAATACAGAAGCCTGTTTGGGCTTGGATTCATCCCATCGCACACTCCTCCACCATCATGAATTATTCCCTTTTTCATTTCTGTAAGCGTCCTTTCTATCTGCTCCTGCATCTGTACCTCCTGTGTCGTGTTTTGAGTATCGGTGACTCAAGGCAAGCTGCAAATGGCTGTCTCAGTTTCCATCTCCATCTGCTCCTTTCACACTGCTCATATCTCCAGCTCAGTTCATTTCCATCATTTGTCTGACAGGCACTGTATCAACCACATAGCTGATGTTGACAAGACTGTTGGTGCCTCGGTCAAGGATATAACACAGTGGATTTAGAGGCAGATAAAAAAAAAAAGTTTTTACTTCTCTTTTGGTCCTTAAGTTTCAGTTAAATACAGTTATTGTTTATTACTCAAGTAGAAGTAGACACCCTACTGTTTAAAAACACTTTTGTAGAAGTTAGAGCGATCAACTTACGCTGTTTACTCAAGTAAAAAATGTAAAACTACCATTTTTAAAAGTACTTAACATGTAAAAGTAATGCAAGAAAAAAATGTAAAGGACAAAATGTTATACTGCACTACCATATTAAAGGAATATTTTTCTACAATTCAAAAAATGGAACATAACTTCCTTGTACTTAATTTGCTGTGTTGTATAATAAATTGTAAGATTATCAAATTCACCTTTGCATCATCTTGAAAAACAATTCATTTTGATATGTGGCAAACAACAAGTTGGTGCAGCACCGAGTCAACCACAAAGAAAATAAATGTCTGGATAAAGCTAATTATTTTTATGTTTTTTATAAAAAAAATTATTACCAACAAACAGATCAAACTAGTCTGTTTTTAAAATGTAAGGAGTAGAAAGTAGAGATTATTGCAAAGAAATTTAGGAGTGAAGGTAAAAAGTAAGGTAACACAGTATTTGTATTGGGTTTTTGTACTTGATACCTCTTTCCACTTCTAAATAGAATAAAATAGAAAAAAAAATTAAAATAGATTTCCTCTATTTTAACTTTTTTCCCTTCAAACATATATGTTTAAGCACATTATACAAATAGTATTTTTGGATAAAGATAACCTGAATAAATAATCATTAAAGAACATCTCCACAGAGTGTCATCTTTCCTTATTTAAATCTTGCAGAGTTTTTGGGAATGAGAGGCGTGTTTATCGTTTTACTACACATTAAATGTGATTTGAGTTTGTACTTTGGCTGGGCAACTCCGAAATTTCATTTTTGTATTTTAACGTTATTCAGAGGTTCCTGTATTCTTCTGTTGATATATATATATTTTTTTTCTTTAGAACCAAAGTGTGCTTGGGATTTAGGTCAGTTACTCCAGGCTAGAGATTATACTGAAATATTCAGTTTAAGATTAAAAATCATGATCCCTGTTTTATGCCAGGTCTTGAGGGAACAAAGCAGTCCCAAATCAAACCTCTACTACCTCTATGCTTGACTGTTGGCATTGTTAATGACTCTGAGGAAGGCCGTAAACCGAAATGTATTGGTCAGCCGATAAAGATTGTTTGTAATACTTCAGTGTTTCTGACGTTTTACCGTATAGGTTGATTATCTTTTTTCTAAAATGTTGTTTAGTTCAGCTGTAACACCTCCCATAAAGATAAATTTTTGTCTGGTCACTCTACAGAATATTTTACCTCAGGTCTTTAGGATCACAAAGTTGTTTTGGGGTCAGCAGTGGTTTTGGCCTCTCCCATGGAGGATATTTTGCCTGCTCTATCTTTCTTTTTGTTAAATATTGAACACTGACTTTAACTGAGACATTTAAGACTCCTTTTTATATCCTGGTTGAATTGTTGTTATTGATAGTTGAAGAGAGAAACCGCACACTTTGTGTTGCCATCAGCAGTACCTTGCAGAATCCCGGCCAGTTGATCACTCAGCAGAAATGGTAGATCATTTAGATTGGTAGGTTTTCTGGTGTGGATCAAGAATTAAAAAAAAATCTTAATCTTTTCAAGTTTGGTTAAAGTTGTAGGGAAATGATATTTAAATGTCAAATCATTCTGGCTTAAACATGTAAATAAATGTACTCTTTATCAGACCATATTGTCTCAATCCTGTCCTAAAATCCGGCCAATCATATTTCAACGGTCATCTGTCAATCAAATTTTTTCAGTCATAGCATCTTGATGCATATGTCGCAACTAATATACACAACAGTTGAAATAAGAATAATTTCCTTTCCCATTGAGTTCCGTCCCAGTGTTCACGGGGATGGACGTCTGTGTCTTCAGCAGGCGTAGAGCTAACAGAACTGGCAGCGTTGCGAGGCAAGGGCTCAAACATGTACGGCTGTAAGCCTTCTACACGAAACAAAGCTTCTGCCGCCCTGGCGTCCTCTTCCATAACATCTTCGTCCCCACTTTCTTCCTCTAAATAAAAAATGTATGACGGAGGAGACTCATCCACGACCTCTGACACTAAACTCTCCTCCTCTTGCATGTTTCTGCTGTCCATAGCGTTCCTTGACAGTGTCGTTTCTAAGTCACCAATTTAGTGCTACTTGGTCCCAATGGAATCCCTCTGGGATTATTGAAGTATGTAAAAAATAAAAGAATACAAAGGGTGTTCAATAAGTAATGGTATAGAGAAATTTAGAATACACCCCATCATGTGACCATGTAAAATCTTTTACAAGGTCATATGATGGGGCATCATCACCATAGGTTACTTTAATTTAATCAAAAGTCTCTCGTGGCGTGCATCCTTTCAAATACAAAAACCAGATCCCTGCTTGACACTCAACAGGCTCCATTTAAGACTTTTAAGACATTTAAGACTCTTCAAACACCTGTAAATCACAAACCCTAATTAGTTCAGGGCTGTAATTTGCCACTTATTCTCTAGAGATATAAATAATTGCACATGCAAAAGTCCAGATACATCAAACAAATGGAAGCAGGTCATGGGGCACTACTTATTGAATCTCCTCGTATTTTATAAAGTACGTAATTTAATTAGCACTCATAAAGTTTTGCATCTTTTGGTGGTTTTCTGTATTTCTCTATGCAAGGCTGCATAAAAGGAGCAAGATTTTAAGAAAAAGGTTTCTAGACGTTATTTCTTTGACTAAACCATCCTTATCCTGCTGTCTCTCAGGGGTGATCGCCTTGTTTTGTCGTCAGTATGACATCATCAAAGACAACGAGCCCAACAACAACAAGGACAAAGCCAAGAACTCCTCAGAGTGCAGTACACCTGAGCACCCACAAGGGGGGTTACTGCGCAGCAATGTCTAGGACAACCTTATATTGCCTTCTGCAATAACCAACCTAAGACCTCAGGACGGGTGAGGTCACAAACTCTGCTTTGCTTGCATACTGTTGGGTTTGCATGGTGTTATCATTTCTCTCCAAACTACGCAATAGATTTTCTTTAGTATTAAAAGCACCAGAGATGGGGTTTTTTGTAATAATTAAGATTGAACATGTGTTTAGACCTACTGTAAGCATGTAACTGTGTTTCTTTCAGACCCTTAGACCAACAGAAAGCCATTCTCAGAAAAAAATAAACACTGAAGAAAAGATTAAACTAAAGGGATCTTCTTCACTCAATGGAGAACTGGCTACAAGCAGCCAAACTGGTGACAGGAAGACAGGATTTTGTTGCACCCAAAGCTGGACTCTCGCCTCCTTCCTGCCGACGTACAGCGGACTCTTGACTAGAGCTGCTTAATTCATACGTTTTTGTTACATCTCATTGTTAGCATGGAGCCCCCGGGAGGGCGGGGGTCAGTTATCGGATGTGAATGTCAATTTAACATCTGGATAACAGCTGAAAGGTGGGGGGAAGTCCAGATCAGCTGGTCCAGGTATCAATCAGCACACAACTCCAACTAGCTTTCACGTATGCATTATTTCCTTTCCGTCTTTGTTCCTGCCCTCTTCATCTCTCTTCTTGTCTCTCTGTGTCGGTGTGGCTCTTATAAGCACATTGCTGTTTGGTGCTCCTCTTACTGTGTTTGCTCGAACAGTCCTAGCCTTGACTGCGGTATGAGTTTTATCAAGTATTGCATGACGAGTGTCATCTCCAGCCTTTTTCTCTATCCTTACATCAGTTAAATGATGCATCTGTTCTTTTGTCTCACTAACTGGAACTTTAAACTCTCCCATTAGTTCAGCGTCTCAGACCTGACAGACTTATTACCCCCCCAGCCTATATTTAACCTGCACGGCGATGACTGAGTGCAGCTATGACTCATGCAGAGTTCAAGGATTGACAAGGAGTCCCTCACCCACTTTTTAGTTATTATCACTTCCGACTGTAAAATGAATAGGCCCGCTTGCTGTGCCAACTTTTAGAAAGACTTCGCAGCAGGGTTTGGGGAAGGTATTGAAGCCTGGTTGTACAGCACTGCATATTCAGCACCGTATGCTGTTTGTGGTCTGCAGCAGGACAAGTGGGGAATACGGATGGGGCATTATCCCCTGATGCATTAAGAATTTGGCTGAGTTTCCCATGTGGTTTGGCCAAGCACCATCAGGGATGCCAGGAAGTGAAGGCCAAAAGAGGACACAATCAGTGGTGAGGTCTATACTGGACCCAGATCTGTCACTGAGTGCAAGTTCTCAGAGTCTTTTTTTTCAACTCACTGTAGGGCAGTGGTTCTCAAACTTTTTCTGTCATTCCCCACTTTGGACAAGGGGGAATTTTCAAGCCCCGCCTGTCCCCATCGCCCCAACACAATGCTAATGAAATATGCAACAATCTTAAAATTTTCCAATTTTATTGAAGTAACAAGTAGTATCTAAATACAAACTATCTACATCAAATAACAGCAAGCTCAAAAATAAAGAAAATAAAAATGCAGCTGTGTCAAAATTTGTATCAAGCTCAAAGATAGAAAAAATTAAAGTGCCACTCTGCAATCTGTTAATAAAAGAAAAGAAGTGAAATCCATCTGGCAATACAGGTCTATTTATCCCTGCATTAGTGGCTGCAATGAGCCTGTTTTGCATTGCACAGTTTCTCAAAACGGGGTTGCAGGCTTGATACTGCCACTCTCAAGTCATGCTCAATGTTCAGCTGAGATCTGTATTTTGTTTTCAGTGAAGCAACAGTTGAAAAGCCCATCTCACAGAAATATGATGTGGCAAAGGGAAGAAGAATGCACACAGCTCTCTGCCCGATGAGTGGATACTCCCTCTCCACTCCAAACCAGAATTCACTATTAGTCTGAGCATTAAACCTGAGCCTCAGGGTGGAGTCAGACGTCATTTCAATAAACTGGTCCTATTTATTTAAGATAAAATATTTCAAATTCAGTTATTTATGATCAACCTGCGCCGTCAATCCCGGCGCATGTGCGCTTTATTTGCAGTCTGGACGCTGAGGGTAAACATGCTGTGTCTCTGCAGCGCTGAGAGGGACTCCTGCGATAGCGGGGGAGAACGGGGTTGGGACGGGGGAGGCGCCCCACGGCAGCACCTGCCGCTGGAGGACAAGAAAAGGAACGATACGCGCTTTCACGTAAGAGTCTCCAAAAGTCGCTAGATTTGTCGCTAGTCGCTTTTTTTAAAAAGAGTCGCTGGAGGGGTCTAAAATATAGCAACAAAGTCGCTGAGTTGGCAACACTGGGGCGCGAAAGTTTATTCCGTTACAAATAATATGCCGACGTCACGTCAATCATTATTTTGGCACTTCAGTTCCAGGTGAAATTTTTCTCATATCTAATGTTCTTTTAATTAGACTGCATGTAGGCTAGTAATGATTACTTTGTGGGTTTGATTGGTCTAAAAAGCGGCAACATACAGCTATAAGGACAGTTTGCTCTCACACGTTCTACATTTATAGTCACACACACACACACCGGAACTTGGCGCGCCCCACCTGTCACGTCTCAATTCCCCACCAGTGGGTCGCGCCACACACTTTGAGAACCGCGGCTATAGGGGAAGACAGGATGAAATATGACTCACCTTACAGAGGTAGAATCCAGCCAATATGCATGTAATTTAATCATACATTTGATTCCCCAAAACAGATAACTAGACTAAAAACATTTAATGTAGGGGTTGCATTTTGTTCAATTATTGCTGCAAATGAAGGACATGTTTTGTAAATGGAAATAAAAAGAAATGCAATCCTGGAATAAAACTTTGTAAAATTTTATAATCTAATTACATTTTTTGAGTGACTTTTAATTTTATTTCTTCCAATTTTTTAATATGTTATTTTTTCAAATTGTATTTATGTCAAACTTAATTTTTTCACTTTTTTTTTTATTTTTAGATTTTTTTTAAATATTATTTTTTTTAAATGTTTACTAATTGCATTCTCTTCATGTTGTGTTTGACAGAACACATTCTCTTAATTTCAAGCACAATACAAATGTGCTTTCTAATGTTAATGATGACAAATAGAAATGTGTCTTTGCTTCTCTCTGCTTAGGCACTTTAACCCCGAAAGTAAGAGAATGTGATGTGGAAAACATAATGGCAGATTGCAATTTGTAAAAAATATAAGAAAGAAAAGTTTGAAAAAAGAAAAATCTAAAAAATGTTAACCTGTTGGATCGCTTTTTTGTTAAAATTTTCATTTATAAGACGTGTTCTTTGCAACAATAATGGAACAAAATTCATGTTCCCGGTGAATTATGCATTTTCAGAAATTTAGGGAAAAAACTCTTAAATACGCAAATTTATTGAAGCAGTAGCAAAATCTCACACCAAACCTAGAAATTTGGCCATACCAAATGTTTGGGATGAAAATTGCTTTCCATTTACTTGCAAACTCGTACAGTTATCTTTTAAATTCAAAGTCTCCTTATATCAAAAAAAAAAGACAACTTTCATTCCTACAAGGTTTAAAAGAAGCAGACCTAAACCCTCACAAATCCTAATCCTTTACGTACAACTTCCAAAGGTACAAAAAAAATTATTTTCTGTCGAGTTATTGTTAAAACAACCAATGAATGTGCCACAAGTGATCTTGTTTTAAGATTTATTGATTAACATTAGATCTTTTGTATTTTGTTGCCCACAAAAGGCAACCCTGTCTTTTTTTTCTAAAGACAGGGTTATCTTTAAAGCAGGGTTAGCAGTAGGGGTGTAAATAATAATCGTTTTTTATCGATGCATCGATCCAAAAGCCGACGATCCGATGCATCGACACGTCCGCAAGTTAATCGATTCATGTTTTTTTTTTCCTCCGGTCTATTTTTATCCATTTGCTCCTGGGCGTAATTCTCCTCCCGTGCTGCGGTGCCGCTAAACCCATTTTGCCCTCCTACCGCGCTTCCTGGTTATACTCCTACAGCAGTTTGTTGCAGCAAGCTTGACACAGACATTTTTAAATTATGCTCAGTATTGAAGCGTGGTCTGGGCTATACGCTGTGGGTCTAGATACGGCCGAGGCGATGAGGAAGTGGGGGCGAGTTTAGTCCGACGACGGAGGGACAATGGGGCAAAAAGAGCGGAGATCCAGCTGGAAAAAGGGTCCCAGCGGTCTCGCGCACCTCGCTCTTCTAGCGGGTCGAACTTCACGAGTTGTTTTCCGCAATTTCGGTCATAAAAACAAAACAAGCCGGCCTCCTGTCTGGTGCACTGTTTGCAATCAGCTACAATCTGGGAGAGGTGCAGCGGAGCGTCTCTCAAGGGGCGGTGACGTCGACACTGGAGCCTTCTTCTTCTTCTTTTATTTAATGGCGGTTGGCAAACAACTTATAGGTGCATTACCGCCACCTTCCAGAATGGAGTATGGACCAGACAAATTATTATATTCTCCCTAAAATACCCGTTCTTCTTAGAAAATTAAAAATACTACCAAAAACTACATCCCCAGATGACCTTTGAAACAATTCCCTTATATCTAGTTTATTTTTATTCCTGTCTAACTCTCTACGCAACATCTCTCTTTCCTGAGTATATTTATTACATTCTAAAAAAATATGTTGGACAGTTTCTCTGGAGCCGAGGTATTGCATTGAACTCATTACACTGATATTGTGCAGTATTTTTGCAGTATTTTTTGATGCAACTTTTCTACTTCTGTTATTTGCTGTTGTTTCTAAAGAAAATGCATAATGATATTACAGCTTTCATTGATTTATTTCAAACTTGAAACTTTGTTTAGCCTGTAAGGTGTAAAAAAAATAAATAATAATAATAATAAAAAAAAAAAATAACCGATTAATCGAATCGTATCATGGTGTATTCTTGAGTATCGAAAATAATCGAATCGTTGGGTCAGGAAATCGATACTGAATCGAATCGCCATGATGGATGTGATTTACACCCCTAGTTAGCAGATGCTAAATTTGTGACTGTTTGCATCGGCATTGCAAAGAAAAAAATAGATTTTGAATTGTAACATAGACCAGTGAAAAAGCTAAAAAATTCATAAACGAGTTATAACTCCAAAAATTAGCACTTTATGCTGACAACTTGTTAATGATTTCAATCACTATGGTTCTTTTTCAGGCTTTAGGATAAATGTAAAAAAGAAAAAGGTGCTGACTTTTAATGACGACCCACCTGATGACATTAGGCAGCGCTATAA